TCCTCATCATCATCATCATCATCATCATCATCATCATGACTATCATCGTTCTTCACAGGACTGCAACTTAGCGTCGGGCGCATACTGAGTACGTCCAAAAACACGTGCATAGGCTTTTAGCTAGAACTTCAGAATGATGAAAACATTCATAATTTGCAAAGTACCCCAACACCACATTTACAGGTGTAAATATTGTTCCCTTTATGATGTTGAAGTTTTCAGCATCCAAATCGAATGCCACATAGATGCCGGACATATGGTAAAGGCGATACCGTATCGGCATTGAGTGCTACTCATCTTTTCATATGATGCGCATGGCTGTTTGGACGTTCGTTAATCCTCCTTCATTTCGCCACTACGGCTTGTGGATTCAGAGCTCTAGCGGAGCGTTGCGGTTCGTGGATGCCTACTTAGTTGTGTTATGCCGTGTGGGCTGGCGCGCTGGCGCGCTGACTTACTGTGTCTGGAAACCGGACCTCCAGCACGAGTCACTCCACTTGCTACTCTTGCGGCCTCGCAGCGGTGAGTGTACTCAGAGCGTCACACACATGAAGCCAAGTCTTGATTAGCTGAAGACTGAGGGCAGAGTAGTAAGGGTTTTTATTGTGCGCAGAATCATTTGTCACACTCTGTAGGCCGGTAGTTGGCACTGGTGAGGCCAGGGTGGGTACTGACGGCGTCAAATCGTGCCCGAGTGATAGAGAGAGAAAGGATGGCGCTCAAGTGGATTTTTGACCAAGCGGTGGGTGTTGCACTAGCCATGGGGTGACGCGTTCAAGCGGGGCGTAGACGGCCGTGAGCGCCTGAATACGTGCGTGCAAACTTGCGAGTAGATCGGGGGAAGCCCACGGGGTCACTACTGCCCGATTCCGCAACTCGTCAAACACCTACTTTTGCTAAACATAACCGGAGATCTGGGCTGGATTTCTTGATGACACTGTCGAGGTCGTTACAAAGGATCCCGTCGAGCACGTCAACTTCTGGACATGGATTATCCCTGAATCGTCTTCGAAGATTTTATACCAGGGTAGTATAGCTCACAGCATGGCGCCTTTGTTCAATGCCTCGCTGCGTGACGGTCATCGGCTTTCCCCGCAGGAAGCGCCAGGCCCACTGGCCACACAGTCTGGTCGACTGCAAGGTGCGCAGACGCGCGCATTCAGACGGTCGCAGCCGTCCATGCTCCACTTGTCATTCCCGAGTTATTGACGTCAGTGAAATGAGCAGGAACAAATGAGCCTCGACGTATCCGAGTGAGTAGGGCTGTTTCTCAAAGTTGCTTTTCTTAACGCATTAAACAGAACGCTTTAATAGTGCACGGCCAAAAGTACCCCCCTATTACGGGTGATCTTGAGCTAACTTCCAAGGGGTTTGGGGTGGCGGACAGGGTTAGGAGAAATAATGCTAGGGTTAGATTTAAACTGGGCAGTATTAGTGTTGGGGTTGGGGAGGTTGAGGTTAGGGTAAGTTATGAGATAGGGGCATAGGTCCCCTCTTGAAATATAGCGCCAGGCCACCTGTAATAGAGGAGTACGTATACCCGTATCCAATAAAGGCTTCGTGTCGCCTCAGAATACGGACGTAGAAATGGTGGGAGTAATTGCCCTCTGGAAGTTCTTCATTCACCGTGTCACCCTTGAGCTGCAAATATCAGGCAGTAACTTTTCAACTTGGTTTCAGTATTCGCCTTTATCATTATCTACGTGAACTACCTAGAGGAAACTGAGCGGTCTTTTTAATGCAGAAAGCTGCTGTAAAGGTATTTGAGCTGAAAACATAAGGAACGCAAGACGTTTTCCATAGAACTAAAATAGAAGGATCGCTGGCACTCGACAGCGCAATAGCTCAGAAAATATTTGCCAGTGCCAAGGAGTGCAGAGGAGAATCAGCTTATTTTATTGGTGTTTTGGCAGATTTGAATAATTGATTTGGTCCAGTCGGGAAAAACTCGGCAGCCTCGTTGGGGCCTCGTAGCTCCGATAGTTAAAGCGTTAGCTGTACTCAAGCCTTGCCCTTGCTGTCGTGACCTCGGATCCAACCGAGGCCGCCTAATTTTGCACAGTCGGGTCAAATGGATCTGTTTATATCAATAATCAAAAGGCCTTTCTGTTTTGCGGTCGAGATGTCAACCACAGATTTAGAGATTCAAGTTGCCGCGGCAGCCACAGAAAGTGAACCGGTTTCCCAAACCAGCCGAGGACGCTGTGCCCCCTTATTGCACAATTAGGCTTCAAAGTCCCTGTATCGCTCTCGCCAATGATGCTAGAGTGAGCATACTTACGGGATCATGTCGGGTTTCTAAATTCTTGCTAATCCCTCAAACGACATTAATACACTTCTCATTATGATTTGGACGGCATGAAAGCTTGGACACCTGACAGTGGTGCGAAACAGAAGCTAAACTGTCTGCAACATGTTGCGAGACTTTTTACGGTTATGGGTGAGACTCGTTCACGTATAAAAGTATCTCCAATCTCCGTACTTCAGTATGTGTTCCAGTCCATACTGTCTCAATCTACGCTGGGCATATATCAGTCTAAGAAGACGGTTTTGCCCACAAATTCTAATAATTATGATATTTGTTCCCTGACACGTACGCTGCTGCGCTCGACATTCCATGATATCTTCAATATGTCTAGTTTTAATAAATTGAATTGAAAAGTTATTGCATAACTCGAATGCTACGTTTAAATACTTTTTTGCATTTAATATAATAGATTTCTATTCGGCGTATGACTGCCTACGTAACCAGCTTTAAAAGCGGCCAAGTACGCAGAGAAATTACTTTGCAATGAAGCGGCCTAGCTGGGCTGATTTGCAAACCCTTTTTCTATTACTATTTGGAGATTCGGTAACACGCAAAGACCCTCACCAAACGCAAATCGTGGTCTAGATTTGGTTCTAGATGGTTGACGAAAGCAAAGAAGCCGGCAATGGCTCTTCCGGTCGCTTCCCGTTCGTATGGTAATTTGACCCACTGGGAATGGCAGCGCGCCCGAACGAGCGTGGAAAACGAGTGGCAGACTAACGGATCACGAACGCGCTCACGCTATTGGTCGCCCGAGGACGGGGCAGGCCTGGTGGGCTGTGGGTTATAGACGCTGGAAATTCCAATTCGCTAATTGTCTACCTACCACAGAATTGGCCAGCTGCTACGTTTTAAAGGCTGCCACGTCTTCTTGTTCCACTTTTAAAGACGGGCATATACCTTTATCCCAAAGTGCCCGGAGGAATGCGTATCTGGATTGTGAAACCTCAAAGTCGCCTTTCGTGAGGAGTAATAGGATCTGTAATCGAGACAGCGGGACAAGCAAGAGACGGAACGCACTGACTGAAAGCCTTTCATACGCTTTTGAATGGACATCATGAGGAGGTCGAATAATAGGCAAGGTCCGAAAGCGGATTTTCCTCTTGTAATTTCTAGGTCTTCGTCATACCTGCTCTTTTTTAACGCTTTTGTGCGGGAGTATTGCTTTGTACTATTTCTCATCTCTCATTTCGGTGACCTTTCTCTGGATTGGTTTAAAGGCATCCAATCGTTTGAAACGGAAATTACGACAACCAATAATCTTACCTCATGCAGCTACGGTTATCAGACTGTTCCAAGACGCACATGTGTTATCTACTTCAAATGCGTTTTTGGAGCACGCTGAGCGCGGCATGTCACAACTCATCATACCAAAAGAGGTCAGTCACTTTAAGTGAAAAGTTTGCGTTTAATGATTTGATAAAGCTGATTGAATATTTGTAATTATGTGGAAGTCTCGAATGGATCAACTGCCATCCACTGACGGTTTTGGACCATTGCGTATTTGCCATATGTGTTACGGACATACGCATACGGTGTTATTCACTTTCTTGGGTATGTTTTCCTCCGAAGTATGAGACCGATCGTTTAACAACAAATGCATCTAGAACTCAGCTGCTCAGTCTCCTTGAATGTGTGGTAATTTAAGTCTGGTTAATTTCAATGATGCTACTGCTAATAACTGAGTTTGATAACTATATTTTCATAGAGAAGCTTAAGCTCTTCAGGAAAACAGACTTGAACGATAGTATAGTGCTATTATAGTGATATTATAGTACTACTGGCCAAACAGCTAGCCAGACTGCCTACCGACGGACAAACGGAAGAGAAACACCAACAATTTGGCACTCCCTACCGTGCATAAACAATGTGTCCGAGGTTACAGAACGCATTGCGTCACATTAAGGCGTGGGCATTGCTCATTATCCGGTGGCTACCATGCGTAGCAGGATCATGAAAATGAAGGATCGGCTGGACGCAGGTGAACAGTCGGACTTAGTCTACCAAATCCCGTGCCATAACTGTCCCTGCCACTACAAAGGCCAAACAGGACGACGTCTCAGCTCACGAATACTTGAGCACAAACGTGGCGTTCGGAGAGGCGGCCCACTATCTCGAGTCGGCACTCACACGCTGGAGGAAGGCCATGCGTTCGACTTCCCCAACACGCGGATATTGGCGCGAGCCTGCAAGAAGACGGGGCGAGAACTGTTGGAGGCGTTGATGTCGGACACCAACTCTATCAACAGACGCATTGATTTGTCTGCGTGCTATCACGCACTTCGCCCACGCAACGAGGCGGCGCACCACGTCACCACGCCGGGGGACCACTATGGGCCGGGCAGCACAAACCAGACCTAGCCACGGACGTAGTCACCTGCCCCCCACCCGCCTTCACGGCACACCGATATAAGTGTTCACACGTTGCTGCACTTTATCAGTCTCTGATGATGAACTCCAGTTTAAGTTCGAAAGCTAAGGCCAATAGATCTACTGTCCCAGTGATCGTAGCTTCATCTTATTTTAGGCATGATCATATGGGAAAACACATTTAAAAAATGACGATTGTTGGGAAAAGGAGTCATCAGGTTTTTTCTTTGGACTTCAGATCCTCTGGAACCCAATAATATCCGCTAGGATCAGTCGGTATCTTTCGAGGAAGGACCGCTTAAATTGCAAGAACTTAATACCCACATGGGATCGACTGGCCACTCGAATTCTTGCATTAACCCCAGAGTCCTTGAGCAGGAAAACACAGTTAATTACCCTACTTCAAGATGCAACCCAGGGAGTCGAGATCTTTACTCTGGACTTTGCTTCGCACCGAGGAAAAAACGTAATCCAGTTTCTGTCTATCCTTTCCGAGCCCGGCAGTACTGGACTCTTCAATCTAACTACTTTGGACATCATGAAACAACCCATCAGCATTGAACAACTGAGGGAGCTCTTAGTTAACTACCCAATGCCCCGATTGCGCATACTCTCCTTGTCTATCGTTGTATGGAATGCCAGACCGATTGTCACTGAGTGCCTGAAATGCGAGCTAAGGCTGGAAGAAGTTGCTATCCGATTTTTTGGCGGCTTATCGCCGAAAGAAAAATTACTACTAATGCAGAGTTTTGGCAACCTACGCAGCATGTCTCTGGATGACTCATCTGACCGTCGGTACAGGTTACCCTGTCAGCGCAGGGACTGGGACCATTCTCAGGTCTGGATTCCACAGTGGACTTCTCTTCAGATTCATCACGACTCGGAACTGCTTGATCTGTTTCTGGGTGAAGGAAAGATTTCTACCGGACTCCCAGAGCTAACTCTACTGACAGAACCAGGTCACTTTTTCCCGAAGAGGTACATTACCAAGGCCTCCGTTGTACCCAGAACTATTAAATATCGTACGCTCAAAAAGCCCCAACTTCACATCGCACAATTTTGTAGAGCCTGCGTCCGTGCTTCGGACAAACGCGACATGCCCCGTTTACAATGCCCATTAACTGACGCGATTCTAGACGATGAGGCACCACTGAACCTCGTTGCCTGCTCTGTCATGTCTGTCGAGGACAACCGCGTCCTGCATCCCCTCAATCTCCATGATCTGTATGTTCACATAGGCCCTCCTCGAACGAGCTCATCCGCCACTTTACCCAACGCCTCCACCTCCTCCACGATCTCAACAAACAGAAGACAAGCTCCAGCAAGGGGTATGGTGGAAGCGCTAATTGAGCGTCGCTGCTCTGAGATCCGACGTCTCTCCATTCGGGTATGCAAACCCACAAGCGATGAGTGCAGGAGTAAGTACATTCGGGAACTTCCGTTACTCGCAAAAGACTATTTTCTCCCAATAATTGAGAAGTGTGGTTCAAATCTTCAATTTCTGGAAGTGTCAGCTGAGCTCATTACGGCCTGTTGCTCCAATGTGCTTACAACACGGAGGCTTCGTCGACTACAGGACAAGTGTCTGAATGTTCGAAAGGCGACAGTGATTGCCAGTGATGACGTGGTGTTCGAGCAACAACTCCGTCCTTCCGCAAAGAATATTTCCACCTACTTGAATCTCTTTCCGGCATTGAAAACAGTGCGTATCATCGCCATGGACATCTTCCACGATCGGACTATTCAGGAGATTTTGGCTAACTGCAGGCATCTCCGGCGTCTTTACATCTTCTCCCAGAATAGTCCTACCTTTGAATGCGCACCGTTACCATCACATGATGCCCTTGAACTTCTCTTTCTGGAATTAAATGGGCTTTCTGGGGAGGATCGTTGTGAGAAACTTTTGAATGAAACACTTTCGACTCTTCACTCGCCCAAATATATTCTACTTAAAATTGAGCACGGCAAATATCCCCGCGTAAAAACCTTAAAAGCTTTTTTCGCCAACAGGGCTGAACTGCGATGGTTGGTTGTAGTATTCAATAAATACGGCAAGGTGATTTTATGCCACGCAGACGCGGACAGAAGGGGCAATCCAGAGATTTTTAAAGATCCCACATTTCATCTGGGGACTCTGATTTATACTTATCCGGAACTCTATACTATATTTTGGAGTGAGTTTCAGAAGTTCTCTAACTGTGCCTTATACTAATACTAGTTTTGATTTGAGCAAACCACGTGTGACCGACCCTTGGTTTTCTGCCTTGTACATCTGGCGACATCTTGCCTAGGCATTGTTGTGTAGAACAATATTGTGTAATGTTAATTTTATGATGTAATAAAGCGCAAAAGTGCATACTTGGTGCCGAGGTTCTGTAACCTCGAGGAAAAGGAAAATAGCCTGCGGTTTCGATTTCAATTACAATTATTACCTTGAGGAATTGTTCTAAGTAATTCAGTAATTCAGTAATCCAGTAGGTTAAGGGGACCCCTAGAGTTTAAATATGTTCCATCTCATCGATAGTCGGCGAGGCCTAATTAAATTGATATCCGAGTCTTTTAGCCGCCGAGCATGATCACCACCATCAGCGCTCGTGTCGTACCCGTTTACGCCGCCAACCTGTATAATCCCACCTGTCATATGAACGCTAGCAAATGTGCATGGGAATGGTCGAACCTGACTGACCTGACTAAAAGTTGGAATACTGACGCCCGACTTTGCCTTTGGCCCCCATCATTTAGGAAGTTGGCGTCCTGGCGAGGTCCAATTCCTTAGTGTTACGGATCTCATCGGACAGAGCGTTAAACCAAAAAGTGTCAACGGAGCGCGTGCTTAAATGTCTTGATTAGGAACGCAACTGCCTGACGATGTCAGATTAGCCAGACTTCGTCATTTCTGTTCTCCTAACCTTTGTCACGAAGCGTGTTCTTTTGCATTTATGGGCAGCCAACTGGACTGCACTGTTCACATCCAGTCTTAAGGGTGCCGGCATCCATTATGTTGAACATGGATTATTTCTATCGAAATAAAAGGCCCCTCTTCAAAAAAGGTGGGTGCGCTTGGTGCGATAGTTACTCGATTGGGTGACATTCGAGTCTTTAATCGCCGCGAGGTCATCGCCCGTGCTGGACGTTGGCGTAATACTTGCTTGATTGTTTGACTCGCGGACAATAACGAGAAATAGTGTTAGTCTGCGTGCTCCCGCGTGACTGCTTACTCTACCCTGAATATGGGACGGGGAAATCATTGAACCTGTTTATACACTGGGGGCCAGGAATCATGACTCAAGCAGCTGACGACTCACGCGATTGTCACTCCCCGTGAGAAATTTGGCCTCATTGAACTTGAATTTGCGACCGGGTCTTGTCGAATGGACCGAGACTTCAGAGTTGGCACTATTCCTCCTCACTGCTGTCGCGTGTTTGGCGATTCGTGTCCGGAGCAGTCTTCCGGTTTACGCAAAGTAGTTGCTTTGCCCGCAATTGTATCACATTCGATAAACGACTCCAGACGTTTCTTCCCGTGGCATTGACTTTTTGCCCCATTATCTGGCACCTGGTAGTTGCCTCCGATCTCTGTGCAACTACAAGTGGTGCGAGCAGGCGGCTGATGGCCTCCGAGGAGTTTTTTTATTTACAGAAGCGCTCTCCAATATTTGGGACCGGTGCGATTTGGCCTCTAGATTCATTTGCATGCGCACTGGCTGACGAAGTTGCGCGGGTAGCTATTTGTTTCGAACACAGTCATAGGCATTTTTGTTCGTCAACCTTGTCTTCCGGTTCGTTGCATTACGCCTTTATACGCCAATACAGCACCTTTTCGCAACTGTATTTGTGGCTGACTGGGTGGTTGTTGCTGCTGAAGTTCTGTACTTGTGTGGTATTTTTCACTTTCTTCGATCACTTTGTTTTTAAGGCCATCAAAATCTTGGCAGCAGATAAGGACATGAAGGAATGCGAGCTTGTTGTTTTTTCCCTCCGTCTTAATCTAAACGTTTTAGAACACAACTTGCAGACGTTCTTTGAATGTCAGCACCTGAATGCGTTCGATGACGACCAGCCCAGAGTTTCAGGCTGTTATATTGGAAGACCAGTGATCCCAAACGTAAGCGGACCGCTTGGGCCACGAATCTCGAAATCGCCAAACCCGCTTGTGTGTTTTTCACCCGTTCGTAAACTGTTCCACGAAACCTGATGCAGTCCTGAGTCAGAACTTCGGGAGGTAAAGGACTTCGGCGTGTCGGAGACGATTCTCTAGAGGGTATGTAGAAGTATAAACTCTGGTTCCACTGAACTAGTGTGAATGAATGGCGTATCTGAAGAGATTTCTGTTCATTGTTTACGTATAGTGTGGTTTCTGAGTTAATACTCCTGCAGTTAGTGGCTGATAGTGCAAGGAAATTTGCCCAAAGCTGCAGCTTTTTTGAAGATTTAAATTACTCGTTGCCATCTGCGGGATATCGGCGGAATGTTTACATCTCCGGATTTTGCAGTTTAGAATACAGACCGAAGAACTGTATATCTTTCCTTAAATGCACTAGCATAACTGAGTGGATGGTCAATGAGTGAGGCACGACTTGGCTGTGTGAAAGGAAATGAGAGGTATTTGGGAACTGATTACATCGCGCAAACGAAAAGCCTCAGGATATATCCGCAAACCTTCCTCTTTTGCCAAGATAAACTTTCGATATTACAGCCAAGGATGACTCATAAATTAGTAATCCTCTATTCAGCGAGTATGTTACTGACATCCATATGCAACGTGCACCGATACTGATAGGTGTCCCAAGTTCATCAAAAATGCAGAATAACTCTGAAATAAACCCCAGTTAACAAATTTAAAAGTAGAAAAAACGATCAAATAGATTTATCGGGAAGAGAGAAAATACGATAGATGTGCAGTTGCGGACAAAGGCAACTAAGTCGGAAAAACCAGTGATCGCTCCGGACACGAGGAGCTGAACGCGCAGCGGCAGTAAGGAGGAATGAGGCTAACTCTCAAGTAGCGGCTCATTCGACAGAATGTATTGTATTCTGTTTGACGAGGTCAACATTCTCGCAGGAGGTGACAACCACGTGAGCCGTGAGTCGCTTGAGTCGTGGTTCTCCGGCTCTCAGCCAATCTACAGGCCCAATGACCTTCCTGTCCCCTATTCTGTACCGAGTCTCTGCCTGGGCAGAGTCTTTAGTTATGCGTAGGGGCGTGAGCTATAGCCAATTCCACTGACAGCGAGCAAAATTGTCAGGTAATTATTACACCACAAATCCACAATGGGGATTACATTTTAGCAATTAAGAACTCGGGTGCGGTTTAACAAGCCGTCGTTGTATTACTTACGACCCCCAAGGATGAACGCGGCAGTTGCCAGCTATAGTCGACATGTTATTGAGTGTTAACCGCGACCTATCAACACAGTACTCATTATGCCTCCATTACCCTTACCTGCGACTCTCTCTGATGATGGGTTCGGGTGAGAATCCGAAAAGTCAGACTGGTAAATCTCTTGTGCCAGTGACCGCATCCTCTTCCGAGCCGCTTCCTGGAACTCGTCTCTTCACCTCTGACGCTTGGTGCGGTAGTTATTCGATTGGGTGACATTCGAGTCTTTAATCGCCGCGAGGTCATCGCCCGTGTTGGGCGTTGGCGTGATACTTGCTTGATTGTTTGTCTCACAGACAGGCACGAGAAATGGTGTTAGTCTGCTTACTCCCCGCGTGACTACTTACTCTGCCCTGAATATGGGACGAGGAAATCATTGAACTTGTTTATACACTGGAGGCCAGGAACCACGACCCAAGCAGCTGACGACTCACGCGATTGTCCCTCCTCGTCAGAAGTTTGGCCTCATCGAACTTGAATGAACTGCGACTTCACAGTTGGCGCCATTTCTCCTCACTGCTGTCGCGTGTACGGCGATTCGTGTCCGGAGCAGTCTTCCAGTTTGTGCAAAGTGTTTGCTTTGCCCGCAATTGTATCACATTCGATAAACGACTCCAGGCGTTTCCTCCCGTGGCAAAGGGTTTTTAGCCCCACTGTCTGGCACCTGGTGGTTGCCTCCGATTTATGTGCAACTCCAAATGGTGCGAGAAGGCGGCTGATGGCCTCCGAGAAGTTCTTAATTTACGGAAGCCTCCAGAATCATTTGCATGCCCACTGGCTGACGAAGTTGCGCACGTCGCCATTTGTTTTGAGCCCAGTCAAAGGTATTGTAGTTCGACAACCTTGACTTCCGGTTTGTAGCATTACGCCTTTATACGCCAATACAACATCCTTACGCAACTGTATTTGTGGCTGACTGGGTGGTTGTTGCTGTTGCTGCTGCTGAAGTTCAGTACTTTTGTGGTATTTGTCGATTTCCCGATCACTTTGGTTTTAAGGTTAGCACAATCTTTGCGACGGTTATTCCGCTGTGGATGATGGACTTCGACCTAAGTTCTCGTATCAGCCTACCTCTATAAGTTCCAAATAGAATGATTTACTCCAAATTAAATATTAATTTCTGAGAATGGTAAAAAGCTGTGGAGTCTTACGTTATCTACTTGGACTTCGGAAGACGGCAGTGATTGCCGACGGTGGTCTGGTGGGACGACATCTACCTCCATCCACGAAGAATATATCCACCTACTTGCTTCTCTTTCCCGCAATGAAAGAATTGTGTATTATCGCTATAGACAGCTTCAGTGAACGGAAAATTCAAGAGATTCTGGTTAACTGCGGTCATATTCAACGACTTCATATTTCCTCCCAAAAACCCCTCCATCTCGACTCTGCCGCATTTCAACCACGTAATGCCCCAGAGTTTCGTCTCCTCGAGTTAGATGGTGTTTCGGTTGTTGACCGTTTTAAGACGCTTGCGAACATTTACTCATCCAGATGCGTACTGCTTAGGGTTGATAGTGGAAGATATCTTCACGAAAATACACTGCATGCATTATTCTCCAACAGGAATGAGCTGCGGTAGTTGGTTGGGACGTTTAACAAATAATACAAGGTACTCTTGTGTTCTGCAGACGAGAACATGATGTAGATCAAAGCCAGCAATATTTAAGGATTCAAAATTTATTTGCTCCAAGTGTGAAAAATGTGGAGGTTCCGGTGGGATTGAAACCCACAAGAGCAAGGACAAATCTTGACTACGGCCAACGTTATAATCACCTGAGCTACGAGGCCCCACCGGCAGCTATGAGGTTAATCGCATTCGGGTCGAGTTACCCGCCCCGCCTACTGCAACATATGGAATCCACCAATTCTGGTATAGCAGGCTGACTGCTCAAGCAGGATTTCCTAAGCAATCAGCTCAGAATCCACCAGATGACTAGCAGATCAGGTTAATTGTTTGGGAACTCCTACTTGGACAGTCAGCTTACTGTGTCCCCATTGGCGGATTTCATATATCGCAGTTTTTTATTCTAACCAAATCTTCACAATTACATCCGACTTTTTACAACGTCGCAGAGGAGGGAAATCATCTTCGTCCGAGATTTCAATTATTATTGTTCAATTGGCCAAATAATAAAATAATCTGTAGACTGAAACAACACCGGCAGACTAAATAAGCTATCTGTTATTGGATGTCGTAGATGTCCGCCTCTTTTCGCTAGCCAAGCATGGCAACCGTCTCCAGCATGAAGTTGATGCAGTTGATCGCATCCAACAGAGCATGATATGGAAGTGTCAACTCCGAAGTGTCAACTAGACCCGGATTAAAGCGCCTAGAGTGCAGTTTTTCGCACGGCCGGGAAGAAGTTCATTCAAAGCCTGCGTCCTAGAGTGACTGAAATATCTTTGGGATTAGACTGATCGAGGAATCATATTAAAACCATGCTTAAGTTACATTTCTAATCGAAAACACATTCCGAAATTTCGATTAACCTTTCATGAGATTGAATAGCTACGGTACACTCACTTCTCCTTTAGAATGTTGAATGACAAAACTAGCGTTTATTTCACAAGATCGCATGCATAAAATGTAACTACTTCGCCCGTGAAGCAGGAGCGGCAACGACGCGCTGAAGGGCATCAAAATGAATAAAGAAAGTCAATCGTCATTTCTGCCGCCCATTTTGTGCCCTGGGGCCCGTGCTTAGACTGGTAACTGCCTGAAATTAGGACGTTTTTGGACAAGGTATGTGACATACTATTCGGTTATGTAGACGGCATGTTTCGTTACTTTAGCCCAGCATCTAGGCGTTGATCTCATCATTCTTTACTGAACTAGTCTTCGTGCATCATCCGTGTTCGAGGATAATTTCTGCTAATCCCGTCACCATCGCGTTTATCCATATGGCTGCCGTTCAAACGTCTAATAGACGGCAGACTACTGACTAGGGAGGCTGTGGGTTTCCCACAATGCGTAATTCACTTCGGCCTTTCGATCTGGAGCCACTTTCCAAATGATTTGCGGCTGTATATGTTCCCCACGGGTAACTTGTGAGTGTGAACCTGGTAATTAAATGCTCAATCCCGTCATCTTTTCTCCACATCCACCAAGTAATCCTAAATTTGCAAATATACCATCAGCGTCAGAGGATTAATGAAATCTAAGGTCACCGTTTGCACGTATGGCATATCCGTATCCTTTTGTCTTTAAGCTTGTATGGTGCTTGTTTTTAATTGAATCAGTGGAGACAAGGAAATTCGGGATTTGGTTTCCACAATTTTTAAGTATATCTTCACGTTTTGCAAAGATACCATCTGCTTCAACTGAGTAATAAAAATCTAAGGTCACTGTCTGCTCGTATGATATATCGGTGTCGTTTTCTCTTTAAACTTGGATGGTGCACCTCTTTTACTCGATCGAGTTTACGCGCAGGTGTTGTTGCCCCTGAGTTACTTTCATCAGGCACCACAGTTTCCTAGTATACCGTCAGCGCTTTTTATGATATTACGGCCTCAGACATTAAGGACCACAATCAAGGGTGTTTGCCAAAACAACGCGCTCCTTGCAAGGTGCGGTCACGATTGCCGCAAAATATTTCCTGGCAGTTCGTAAGTGAGCGCAGATCCGGAAGAATGAGATTTAACGACTGCGAATTGAAATCTCCAGTACTCACTAACTGAGGGATAACCTGCGAATCTATCGTAGACATCGGATCTTCATTTTCTCTACTGCGTTTCCAGAGAAAGGCACTAGCTGTACATACACAGTCCAACCAGCGCTCTTGACGATCCAATTCCTTGACTTTACCGAACTTAACAGGATTTCAACTGTCACATGCTAAAAGTGGTATTGCAACCAGTCTTATATTTAATACTCTATAGTGACTTCGATACTTCATCCGGGTTATTCACAATGCAGAGCTGTGTGTGTATTTCTTTTGTCATCTCCGGCACCAGACGCAGCATCAAACTTGATATTCCAACTTCCCCTAATATGTTACCTCTCTCGGCCCTGGCAGAAACACTGACGGATACGATGGGGTGTAGAATCCACGATTGATGTGAGCTAGCCTGTGAACCGTGTCATACGATAAGTGGTGGTAAGGGGGGATTTGCGGGTTGGACAACACATGGGACGGAGAGCAAAAATACACAGAAAATGACTAAATTTCTGCCGATAGTCTTATCGCACGCTGTCATTTGGCAAAGAACGTGAGCGCGATATTTAAAAAATAAACAAAAAAACCATTTTTCAATAAATCACGGACATTGAATGAAGCGTCGCTGGTAAGGTTGCATTTAATCAGGAAGGGAGGGAAATTTCAAAGAATTGGAACGGTGAATACTAGGCAATGTTTACAGTCACACTGAATTTTAGGGTGTACGTTTGTAGTTTTCATCTATTTGCGCGTCCTAAACCCTATACTTACCCCACTGAGCGTGGCAAGTTTTTAGTCAGCTGCTTTAGATTCGAATCCGCATAATCTCTTTGTGAGAATCTAATTGCTGATTGAAGCTCAGATTTCCTTGACTGACGCAGTCCTACATTGACCACTAAAAACTTCCATCACGACTAATTTGGAGTTCAATTTCGCAACCAGTCGATCTTTCCAAGAAGTCTTCCTTCAGCTGTTGCGCAGAACATCGTACAAATTACGTAACTCCTGCGCAGACTGGTTGCGAAAATATCCAATCAGTTTACAGACAGTAACGGCTCGACGAGTCACGCTGTGCTTCCAACGGCAACTGAATACAGTCTGTTTGGGCGTCTCTGGTAAATATGCTGAGCAGATCGGTGTCAATTAGAAAAAGCCTGCCGTGACACAACTAAACTGACCACTGAGGGTAACTCGGTTAAAGGGATAAACAAAGTGGATTGTGATAGGTGTGAAAGTTGAGAAACTGTTTTGTTCAATGTTCCATTGAGATGACCAATCTAGGTAATAAGCGGAAACCCACAGTCTGGTTTCTTTGAACTAAAGTGACTGACTGATGTGTCTGTGTAGGCTTCCTCTAATTCATGTGCGTCTCGTGACTTCTAAGACGGGTTTCTAGTGCATTGACAGTCTTCAGTCCTTGACGCGGCAAAATTTGTGTAAAATAATAGGCCTGCTGTACTCTGGCTGTAAACTTTGAAGAAAGCATCGCCATCAACTGCGGATTACTGGCAGTTATGGATATAGATTTTCAAATTAGAGAGCCATACACCATTTTTCAGGAAGCTAGCGAAAGTGCGTGCATCTTGTTCGAACGGAATTATATATATGTATATATAGCAGCGAGGAGGGGCGACAGAGAATGCGGGTAGATTGATACAGTACTGTTTCGGATTTATTTTGCCTTCATTCAGCCAATCGTAACCCTGGCCAGCAGCTGGGACCAGAAACAGGCGCATAGACGAAACTGGCGTAGTTGGTCCACCACTTGGGTCTACCAGATGGGTCATAAGCACTTCATGTAACCGAAGTTCATCAGTGCCTCGCGACCTGCCATCCTCTGTCGCTGCAGATCGGGAGTATATACATATATATATTCACCTGGCAGACCCTACCTTACGTGACAAATGTATCTCAATGGTAGGGTGTGGTTGGCTGACAACCACTAATAAGCCAGAAATGGCCATTCCAGTCTCCCTTGTCTTTGTCGGTAATACCATTCTGCCCATATCATGCGCCGCTGTGCGGCTGCTGGTTGGGAACGGAGGCGGGGGTTGTGGCAGTAATGATGGCTGGGGATGCCGGGCGTCGGAAACGGTGTCCATACATTCAAATCGATGTATAATAATAAAACGGAATTCAGGTATCCATTGTTGAGGTTCGTACGTCTTTCATTATTACCTTATTCTGTCAATAGTGACGTTTATACACCGAAATCTGTTTTGGCTTATACGCGTGAATCAATTTACCAAGAATTCTACACGTATTATACTGAGCAATGTGCTAAGCTGTCACTTGGAGCCGAATCCCCATGTCGGCGTCGCTCTCTCCTTCATCTACCGCACACCAGTCGTCTTTTCGAGTCCGTCAACCAGTTGGCCTTAGGACTGGGCTTAGTGGCCGACAGAACCGCGTGAGTGTGCCTACGTATATCACGCACGGATTGGTCGCGCATTAGACTGTGCCAGGGAAGAGGCTCTTGAACTGCGACATAGGTGACGATTGTGTGCTTGTAGTCAGTGATGTTGGGCGGGTTTGTGTGGGGTGTCCGGACTGGTGGAGATATTCGCGGTAATACGGTTCTAACTAGGGTTATTTCCGCACACATACGTGGAGGCACATATGGCTGAGTAGGTCCATGCGGTGATTGGATGTAAATGGGCAGTGATTTGCCCAGTCTCAGTACGATGGATCGGCAAGGCCGATGTGTGGTGTAAAGGTGCATAAGCAAGGCGGACAGGTTGGGATCGAAACCGCACTGCTAGTGCTTGGAACAGAGGTGGTGGCGGTGGTGACGGATTGCAGGGCATCGCGAGTGGGCTCACCGGTGGTGGAGATGGGAACGGTGGCGGGGGTTGCGACAGTAATGATGGATGGGGATGCTGGGCGTCGGTAGCCGCGTCCGTACATTCAAATCAATGTATAATAATAAAAAGGAAGGCTACTTGCAAGTTTATTTCTCATATTAAACTAGGGCTTGCATAGAAAGCGCTTATGAAATTGCTGAAATTCACTCCAAAATATGTTGTAAAGCTCTGGATAGGCAAGAATAAGGCTGCACAAGTAGGTAGTGCGGCATTTAACAATTTCTGGTTCTGCAGCACAGCTCTCGTTTGCATGACATAAGAGTGTTTTGCGGTGTCTGTTGAAAACTACAACCAACCACCGCAATTCAGACCTGTCGGAGAAAAAGGCTCTCAAGGTCTTCTTGAACGGATATCTTCCACGATCAACCTTAATCAGGATGTATCTGGGCGAGTGAAGTTGCGAAAGTGTTTCCTTCAAAAGTATTTCAAAACGATCCTTCACATCAAATCCTTTCAAATCCATGAAGAGCAGCTCGAGGGCATTATGCGACGGAAGCGAAGCAAAGTCAAACGTAAGATTCCTCAGGGAGTATATGTAGAGACGCCGAAGATGACCACAGGTAGTCAGGATCTCTGGAATAATCTGTTCAGTGAAGATGTCTACGGCAACAATACGCACTTCCTTCAGCGCCGGAAAGAGACTCAAGTAGGTGGAAATATTCTTCGCGGATGGACGCAGTTGTCGCTCGACCAGATCACCCCCGGCAATCACAGTCACCTTTCGAACATTTAAGCACTTGTCTTGCAGTCGGAGAAGCCGCCTTGTTGTTAGCACATCGGAGCAACAGGCTGTGATGAGCTCAGCGGACACTTCCAGAGATTGAAGATTTGGACCACACTTCTCAATAATTGGGAGGAAACAATCTCTCGCGAGAGACGGCATCTCCTGGACGTAGTTCCCTTTACGCGCATCATTTCCAGGCTTGCACAAACGAATGCATAGACGTCGGATTTCAGAGCAGCGATGTTGAATCAGGGTTTCCACATTACCCCTTACTGGTGCTTGCCATCTACTTACAGAAGACGCTAGGGAGGGAGAGGAATTCGTCACAGTTGTGGATGAGCTCGTTCCAGGAGGACTTATATGAAGGTACAAGTCATGTAGGTTGATGGGATGAAGGAGGCAATCGTCCTCGACAGTCATGAGAGAGCAGGCAACGAAGTTCACTGGTGACTCATCGTCATGAGCAATGCCAGTTGATGGGCACTGTAGGCTTGGCATGTTGCGTCTGTTCTTCACGCTGACACAGTCTCTGCAAAATTGGAGGGTATGGAACTGGGGTTTGTTAAGCGTATGATATTTGACAATCCTGGGTATCACGTAGAATTCCGTAATGTACCTCTTTGGGAAGAAGTGGCCTGGTTCTGTCAATATGGTCAATTCTGAGAGTTCATAATCAGACCAACTTTTACCCAGGAACAAATCGAGTAGTTCTGATTTGTGGTGAATCTGAAGAGAGGTCCATTGTGGAATGCGAGTCTGATAACCTTCCCAGACTCTGCGCCAGCCGCTAATCCGGTATCGATCGATGTGGGAGTCGTCCAGGGAAAGCCTGCGTAAGTCGCCAAAGCTCTGGATTAACAGCAGCAATTCGCACGACGACAGACCTCCAAAAAATCGGATAGCAACTTCCTCCAGCTTGAGCTCAGATTTCAAGCACTCAGTGATCGGTGGTCTGACGTCACTTACAATGACAGAGAGAGAAAGATTGCGTAAGCGAGGCATTGGACACTCAGACAGGAGCACACCCAATTGTCCAGGGCTGATTGGTTGTTTCATGGTGTCCAAAGTAGTCAGATTAATGAGTCCAGTACCACTGGGGCTGGAAAGGGTGGATAAAATTTGAATGACGTTTTTTCCACGACGGTCAGCAAAATTCAGAGTGACGATCTCGACTCCTTGGGGCGCATCTTGAAGTGTGTCAAGCAGTTGCACTTGCCTAATGCAGACATCTGGCGTTAGTCCAAGGACTCGAGTGGTCAGGAGGTCCCATGTGGATATAAGGCTCTGGCAATTTAGACGGTCCTTCCTCGACAGATACCGACTAATCCCGGCAGACAGTATTGGATTCCAGAGGATCTAAACTCCAAACAGAAAATGGAAGACTGAGCTTATAAATAACAGTCACTTTTACGCTATACTTCCACCTACCATCATTTTATTTCCATGAGGCAGTTAGGTGAATTAGAGGGGGTGTGGCATTTAAAAGAAAATTTTACTACTGATTGCAATTAATAAGATGCAACTTATCAAGTGTTCAGTGCGAGACTGAGCAGTTGAGCTATATGTGCACTTGCTCATAAACAGCCAGTCGCGTACTCCGAAGCAAAACATGCCTAAAAAGTGGATATTACAGCATCTGTCGCCCCACAGCACTTATGTCATGCTAAATGCTGCAAAATTGACAATGGGGAGGGGCTGTTGATATCAGGCAGACTTTCATCCAACTACAAATATTCAATCGGATTTAGTGGATCACTAAAGGCAGGCTGTTCTTTTAAAAGGACTGACCTCGTCTGGTATCACGAGTTGCGACATATCCTGCTCTCCTTGGTCTCCAAAAGATCGTCTAATGCGCGTCTCGGAAATAGAAACAACCGTGTCTGTAGGCATTGAGATTATTGGTCCACCTATACATCTTTCTCTTAACTGATTGGATGTATTTAAACCAATCGCGACAAAGTCCACTGGACTGAATCCGGATAGTCGTGGCAAAGCAGTAAAAGGCAAATCTGACCAAAATAGAGGTTCGATGTAGAGTTGGAGAGAATCAAGGGGGAATGGGGAGTCGCTTGCTCAGCGCTGTGATCGCCAAATCTTAATCGGATCTTCCTTTGGTCTCGACAACAGAAGTCCCTAAAAGTGCGTTCTACGAAACCCTACTGATCGCCAAATGTCAATCCATAGAAAAAGTCTTCTTTGCCCTATGTCGGAGGCTTCAATACAGTCCCCGCAGTCCCCTACATTACGAACTTCTAACAACGATTTCTCATTGTCGTTTAAAAAAAGCCATCTTGTATTTTGATTAAGGAGGATGCTAAAAAGCATGTTCTTCATTATGGATCTAAATATGCAGCATGTTAGGTAACCTATTGAGCATGGCACTTGTAGCGAACACTCACTCCCATTCATTAAACGTCAATACTCTGCTGCACTCTGTGAGCCTTTCCAATCACCACCTGCATTTGGGTGGCGACTTTGGTGACCAAATCCGACTATCTTTGTGACTACGGGAAAATATGTGAAGTAACTGGGTTGTTTGTTGATCTTGGCCAAATGGCCATTGTTTTGAAAAAAAGTAATCTTTTCAGCCCTGCAAGGTCTGTTTACATTCTGCCAGATGAAATTATGACTGAAGAATTTGTTCTCTCTGCTACTGGTACATTCGTGCTGGAGTTGCATTCACTGGACGAAAACGAGACAGACAGTACGGATGTTACGCAGCCGACACGAAATGACAAACACTGCAGCATTGATCAAATGCATTTTGGGGTGAGGGACAGTGCCCCGGACAATCCTGTTTTGTGCACGACAGGGCTACTAAAATAAGTTTACGTAGAGTGGCAAAATGCTGGATTTAAAAGATTCGAGAATATGAGAGTTTGAATTAGGGCTCATCTATTAGTAAGCGAGGACTCAGCATATCAGATCTAATTTGATTGTCGCTCGGCTTTCTTCTAAGAGCTTACATACTTTGGCGCACGATGAGCCGTCGCTATTCATATACATTTCGAGGGATGTTCCGCAGGCTCTACCTTAAATTTAGTCATTCTGATGTTGTCAGTGCAGGTGTCCGTGCTTTTAACAAAATTCCTGTCCACAGTATGGTTGCAGTGCTTACAAGGTGCAAATTACACTAGCAGCTTTGCAGGTGTGAATGCCCTGCCATTAGTCCGCCGAGATTGATAGTATTCGACCCAGACGACCACATATTTTTTAGAGCAGAACATGACATTTTGTACTCCGAAGTGCTGACTCTAAATCACACCGTCAGAGTGCTGAAGATGGGGAACCGGGCAACAGTCGTGGGTGGTGGCGTTGTTTGAGGTTGGATATCCACCGCAGGGGCGCCAGTTTCCAGGGCTAATCTTAAGGCAGCCAGGTGTGCAGGTGCGAACTGGCGAGCCGAGAAAATTCTGGAGGCCGACTGGTGCGTTATGTGAGGAAGCACGTCGCGCGGTGGGGTAGGGGCACTGAATTTGGGACGCATGACATCGGGTTGATTGGCGAGGAGGTGGTGAAATGGACTAGTCGGGTTGGGGTCGAGGGCGCCAAGCTGAGGAGACGCCTAAGAGGAAGGTGTATCTGCACCCGGACATTGAAAATGGTAGTCTGACAATACGGACTGGACTACTGACAGTCGAATAGAAGACGACAATAAATTCTGCACCGAAAATGGGAACACGGGATACCAGCGACTGCAGGAATAAGGGTAAAGGTCAATGGAGTCACCGATGGTCGACTGCTACTGGAGGAATGTGGCTGATCCGCGCACTTGTAATGACGAAGAAACGATTGTCACAGACTCAAGAATGACGACTGACAATGGAACTGTCCGAGGATTGGTTGTCCTGACCTCCGGCTTGGCTCGATTTATTACTTGGTCCTGCTTATAAATGAAAGAGCAGGGACAAAGCGGTAATTGGCTTTGGCGCCATATGTGGTACGATAACAGCAAGTGATGGCTGTGCTGTGGAGATGAGGCAATAGGCTGTACCTACCGGGGAGATGTATTCGGAATAGCCACTGATACTGAAGGGAATCTACATCCTTGGGAGGCTTCAACACTTGCGACTTTGAATCCGAAAAAGCAGTCGGAGGAGATGCTGAGGAATGTGAATTTGGGGCGAATGAGCGTGTGGCGAATACGTGCACCTCCCTCAGGTCTTGCGATCGGCACGGACTATTTGCAGAGGCCATTCCTGAACTGACAATAATGGTGTCTACTTCCAACATGCAATCGTGGTCTGAACAATCGAAAGCTGATGCTCAATTAAATACGAGGATTTCAGTGACACTCATTCTTTCAGATATTTTTCGCTAAAATTCATATAGCGGTACATAACCCCCAATTCTAGTACTGGAATAAACAATGCGTCGAAAAAAATCTTGGTGGCCAACTGAAGCAAGCCTTTAACATGGACATAGTCCATATTCGGGGTAAAAACACACTTCGTCCAAGCTATCTCAATACATTGTTGCCTTCTCATTGGGATGGAGATGACGCTTAGGACGAGGCTAAAGGTTCTCCGACAAAGCTTGAAACAGTAGGGTTTAGTGACGATCCCATGACTGCCAGTCATGAGTCCATTAGGTTCTGCGACCGTTACTTATGTCGACTGCGCATTTACCACGGTGTCAAAACACAATCAACTCCATAGTGTCAAGAGACTATCCATTAACTGTGATTCAGTTAAACTGGTCTCTGTTCGCATCATTTGGCGGACGTGCCGGCAATCCATAACCCAAATATGAAATATTGAATATCTGGGTGATGATTGCAGAAATACGGAATTCATTGCCAGTGTTGAAATCCTCGGTGAGTTAGTATAACTATGAACTAGCTGGTGCACAAGTCACCATGCCTGTTGCACTTTTGTCTGGAGCACACAGTGGACATCTTCAGCAACGACGGTCGAACTTTCATATTGGAGAGTAGACATCCCAGAAATATAATAAGGAAGATAGATATACCTATGTAGAATAGCATAGCCGACAAAGACATGGGAGACTGGAATGGCCATTAAAGGCTCATTAGCCTTCATTAGCCGGTCACACCCTGCCATGAAGTTTGCGGTACGTGGGACTCGATCCTGCGATCTGTTTGCTAGAGGCAAACGCCTCTAACCGCTGAGTCGAGGGCTCGTTTTCTTGTGTATTTCGATATATATATATATAGGCAGAATGATATTACCGACAAAGACAAGGGAGACTGGAATGGCCATTTCTGGCTTATTAGCCGTCGGCAGCCAGCCATACCCAAGCCCGAAGTGTGGAACACCCGAGCCTCGAACTCGCGATCTGTTGGTTTAGAAGTCAACGCCTCTACTCACCGGGCCACGAGCCCGTTGCCTTGTCGGTTTTCGATGGGGAATATACAGTGTTAGGGGGCGCTCACCGATCGTTCATACGGAACTCACTCGTTCCGTTGTGCCTTATGGACTCTCTCTCGAGCCCAACCAGCAGCCGCACAGCGGCGCATGATATATAGGCAGAATGATATTACCGACAAAGACAAGGGAGACTGGAATGGCCATTTCTGGCTTATTAGCCGTCGGCAGCCAGCCATACCCAAGCCCGAAATGTGGAACACCCGAGCCTCGAACTCGCGACCTGTTGGTGTAGAAGTCAACGCCTCTACTCACCGGGCCACGAGCCCGTTGCCTTGTCGGTTTTCGATCGGGAATATACAGTGTTAGGGGGCGCTCACCGATCGCTCATACGGAACCCACTCGTTCCGTTGTTGGTTTTAGACTGAGTCTTGCAAAAGGAGTCCATGATTGGTTAAGGTTGTCATCTCGGGATTGGCTGAATCAGTTTGAATCTGTCCTTAAAAATTTTGTACGTGGCATCTAAATCGATATGCCCCTTGATGCATGCCTCATCTGAGTGCATTGCCTCCAGGAATTCGCGGCCGTTTCTTGTTTGGCAGGCGCCAACAATGCGAGTGTTCTACCATGCGAATTTATGCCCAGTGTTTAGTGTGTGCATGGCCACCTGGGATAGATGGTCGCGTCTCTTCACCGCTAACTGATGCTCATGTATACGGGTTGAGACAGATTTCCCAGTTTGGCCACAATAAACGGCATCACAACTAGAACACGGGATTTTATAGACAGCACCTTTTCTTTCGAGGTAGCCGACCCTGTCCTTAGGGTGCACAAGCTGTGTGCGTAAGGTAGTTGCCGGCTGGTGTGCTACGTTTATCTGGTACTTTTTCAATTGTCTTTCGACAAGTTCAGATACATTCTTGACGTATGGGAGAGTTCGCCATGTGGTTGGTTTTGGTGCCTGAGTGGCCGTACCATTGGAAATACTTTTTCCCTTGAGTTGCTGGTGCCTCATGCATTGACGTATAAAGTCATGCGCGTACCCATTTTGGGTGAACAGTTTGTAGAGGTATTTCATTTCTGCTCGATAACTTGTTTCGTCAGAGCAGTGGGTTTCGGCTCGATTCAGAAGGCTGTAGACTGTGCTCCGTTTGTGAGAGACAGGGTGGTTACTCTCAAAGTGTAGGATGACCTCTGAATACGCCTCTTTGCGATAAACTGATGTCTGGAGTGATCCATCGGTTTTTCGACGAACAAGGACATCCAGGAATGGGAGTTGTCCATCAACCTCTGTTTCCAAAGTAAATGTAATTCCTGGAAATATGGAGTTAATATTGGTATGGAGCAGATTCAACTGATCTTTCTTGACGATGACAAAAGTGTCATCTACGTATCGCAGCCAAAGTTTTGGATTGACTGTGGGAAGGGCTATGCTCTCTAATTTCTGCAGTAATGCTTCTGCCAGGAAACCGGATATTGGTGAACCCATGGGAGCAACTTTTAATTGCCGGTGGCATTGATTTGAGAAGGAAAAATTTGTCTCCAGACAGAGATCAAGGAGTT